TAAATGCCGCCGGGCTTACGGAGAATGAACCCCCCACCCCCGCCCCCTCCCCTCTCATTAGAGTAACAGAAGGAAATGGTACTCGACACACTTGTGTGTCGGTGCCTTTCCTTCTGTTGTCCCTGTTCTAGTCTACTCTACCCGGGCGGTCTAAGACAAAAGTCCCGCTCCCTCACTATTGCGCGTAATTAACGGCTGCTAAGTATTCAGTAACTAGACACACATGTACACAAACACACACACCCTCCCTGCCCCCCCACTCTTTCTCTCTTACGCTTTCTTCGTTTTCTAGGTTTCTTTCAGGCTCGTTAGGTGGTTCTTGAGGCTCGTTTCCCTGCCCCTCGGGCTTTGTTTAAAGTTTACTTCTTTCTCTCTTGCCTGTTCGTTTCTCTTTCCTTTCTGCTAGAGGGTTTTTAGGTCTGTAGTGAGGTTCTTCTTTTCAATCAAGTTTCTTTCTTGCCCTTTCCGTTTTGCTCTTTCTGTCTTTCTTTCATTCTCTTCTGAGGCTTTTTAAGTACCTAGTCAGCTTCATTGCCAAAAAGCACTCCACAGCAGAGTGCAAACGCTTTTTAAAAAACCTCGTTTTGCTGCCAGCGCCGAAAATCGCCGGGTTGTGTGTGTGTCACCCTCCGTCTCTAGGAGTCTTTCCCAGTTTTTCTGTGTTCTTTCTCAGACAACGCAGGGGGCCATCCCCCTCCCCAGTGGCGGATGGTCATCGAAGAGGACACTGGGAGGGCTGCAAACGTACCTGCTGAACCGTTGCACAAGCTGTTCTCCTTTCGGTTTGCTTCTCATGGTGGTTCTCATGCTATTCCCCTAAACCTTCCCCTTTTTATCTGCTAAGTATTCAGTAAAGTGCTAACGCCTCAACACTGGTCAACATTTCAGTTTAGCCGACTTTGCGCCTTTCCGTTCCCTCATCCATTTCACTGTGGGTTATGGAAACTGCAAACCATGTGACTAGCGTGTGTGTGTGTGTCATGCAGCTTGAAGCATATGGCTGAGTTTTTTCTTGGGGGCGAGGGCTTTTGTTGTTACTGCGTGGTTCACCATCCAGTCAAAACTGTGCCTGTTCCACTGACCTGGTTCAATTGTGGCAGCTATAAGTGACAGATCCAACGCAGCACCTCAGGGGCAGCGATCTTGGGTCCGAAGAGAGCACCATGGAAGTAGACGGACAGGTCATACAGTCATACAATTGATCACAATTGCTTGATCAACAAAAAAATTCGCATTCAGTTCGAGGCAAACATTTTGATCTGTAGAGAATAATTGAATGTCGGAACTCCAACCTCTCAGTTTCCTACCTCGCGTGCGAGGCAGGCCACTTGGATGCAAGAGAGTCGCAGTTTTCCTCGCATGCAGTGTGCACCTGCGAAACGTATCCGGAGTACCGAATAGAACCCGTGGACGAGTTGCAGCGCACCTTTGAGTATCAACAATTTGCGGCTCAAAGGGGAGTGGACGTACCGGTCAGGTTTCTCCAAGAGATCCAGGAGGAGAATCTTATTGGAGCTGCCGAGTCGAAATAATTCGGTGCCAAAACTGGCAACCAATTGCCCATGACACAGCGGGCAGGGGGATTTCAAGTCAGTTTGTAGAACCGGAGAATGCTGGAAGCAACCTTGGAGTGGCTGTGAACCAGAAGGAACTGGAAGGATCATCTAATCTAAGCCTCCAAGAATGTGTTCATGACATATGTATTTAGATTATAGACTATACGTACATGTACAGTATACACACATACATTTCATTAGCACAGAAACTGTTTAATTCATTGCAAGGGTTTGGGAACCTCTAAAAGCGTGAATTTGTGACATGTAACACACGGTGTTTCAGCTTCCAGACCACTGAATGACTTTACCTGAGACAACTTCATTCGCTTACTGGTTTTTGGATCTTTGGGTGCGAAAGAAGTTGCTTTCCATGTTCTAAAAAGATCCACAGAGTGGTGTAATTGTATGTAATTATGGTGTATATGGGTATCAAAACGAGTGCATGTTCGAAGTGGCTCAGCCGTGAGAATATTTGGTCCGTCCACCTGAGGTAGGCGAAGGATGCAATTCCTCACTGACTTGAAGAAAGCTGCAAAAGGAGAACGTGAAAAAGAGGCACATGCCAAGCGCTCTATTCACCTGTAGCTCATCATGGTAGAAACCTGAAGCAAAGCATAAAAGGGAGAGGTCAATGATGATGCGTTTAGGTGAAAGTGCCTCTCAAACACGCGCTTTGGAAGGATAATATTGCTTATTTGGCCATTGAATCTGGATGGCGATCCTAGAGCTACCTTCAAATTCATCACAAGAAGACATTCAGCCGTGGCTTTGAAGTTCTTGTGTTCAACAACTAAGCATGCTTCCATCTCAGTCACGGTCCGGTGAACAGATGTAGTGTGAATTCGGCGGCGTGGGCAGTTCTCCTTCGATGAAGATGGAGAGAAAGGTGCCAATCCGGGATTGGATTGTTTGCACTGGTTCAGTAAGTGTTTTCTTTGGATGAGCTTGCACATTCTGGATGTGTGGAGTTTTACAAGTCCGACTTTTGAGACACTAAAGAGGTCATGATTGTCTACCAAATGACCATGTACCAGAGGGCTGAAGAGCTGCATAGCGCAAAAGCACGCTGAGCAGAGAAAAACAAGGTTTCTGTTCAGATTATGGCAACTTGGATGTATCAACACCTCTTTTGGCCTTTGCTCAGCTAATTGAAGGTCTTAGTCTTAGCCGCTAGCTACACAAACAAAACATGATGCAGCGTGCATGCCTCTATTGTGATGCTGACCGTGTTTTGGTTGTGGGGTTTGAGTGGTTTGTTTGCCTAGACCTTTCGACAAGAGCAGCAAACCGTTTGACTGGCAGATTTGCAGGAAAAGCTGACAAATGGTTGGAGAAGATCAACAGCATGTCGAAGAAGATCCAGTCAGTCCCAACACAAGCACGCGAGCGCAATCCTCAGGGCCAGTTGGCGTGCGGATGTCATTTGTTTTGTCCCTTTGTCTTTGCGTTGTCAGGCTCCTGATTTTGGGGAGAGCCCCACCCTTGCAATAGTCAGGTCTTGAATAAGAGGTATTAATCCTTGGCCTTTTTCACTATATTTAGGTTCTGTGGTTGGCCCAATGATTAGCTGCTACATTTGGAAAGGGTTTGAGGAAGTTGACCTCAGCTGATGTGAGCTTTGCGTTGAGGAAGATGCAAAAGATGAGGGAGCCCAAAGACGAGGAAAAAGCAGCGTGGGGAGCCCCTGTGTCCAGTTTCAGGCGTTTTAGACCCTCAACCCTCAACTCTCAACCCTTCCCACCATTCTCAGCTTTGCAGAATTAATCGGCCCCAGCTGACGGATGTCTAATGAGATTCCACGCTTGCTTTTTGAAGGCTGGCGGACACAGATGTAAACCCATTCGAGCCTTTTGTCTCCTGGTATCTTTATCTATTTATCATTCT